TCTCTCTCTCTCTCTCTCTCTCTCTCTCTCTCTCTCTCTCTCTCTCTCTCTCTCTCTCTCTCTCTCTCTCTCTCTCTCTCTCTCTCTCTCTCTCTCTCTCTCTCTCTCTCTCTCTCTGTCTCTCTCTCTCTCTCTCTCTCTCTCTCTCTCTCTCTCTCTCTCTCTCTCTCTCTCTCTCTCTCTCTCTCTCTCTGTCTCTCTCTCTCTGTCTCTGTCTCTCTCTGTCTGTCTCTCTTCCCCACCCTCCTACGGCAATTCTGCCGCGAAAAAGCAGCAAGACATCAGATGCATGAAACACTTGCTCATACCTTCGATCAATGGAGCCGCAAACAAAACGAGGCCACTCCGCTTCCTCGTAGCCGTAAGTCTGCTGCCAAGGAACCTTTCGCCCTCCTCCTCCCGCTGCTGCTGCTGCTGCATCCGTCTTCCTGCTGCTGCTGCTGCTTCCATGAGGCGCCTCGCTTGCAGCCGCCGGAGGTTCTCGAGAAGCCCCCTGGTGCTTTTGCTGCTGCGCTCGGCTGCTGCTGCTGCTGCTGCTGCCGCTTCCACTGGTCGCTGCAAGTGCTGTGGGAGCAAGACTGCTCCTGCTGAGCTGCTGCAAGTGCTGCAGCGCAAGCCACGCCAGATGAAATCCTGCACCCGTAAGAGCTCCAATGCTCCTGTCGGAAGCAAGCAGCGAACCAAGCAGCTGCCGCACGTGCTTCAGCGTGATCGTCTCTTTGCTGAGATGCCAGATATCTCGAGGAGCCTCTTGCCACACCTCGAAGGGAGAAGACGCCTCCGCAGAGCCTCGATACGGCCCTCCTTCCGAGGCACTCGCAGCACTGCGGGTGCCTACACACTTGGAAGAAATAAGCGACAGCACATCCAGCTGCTGCTGTTGCTGCTGTTGCTGCTGTTGCTGCTGCTGTTGCTGCTGTTGCTGCTGCTGGCTTGAGGGGCCTTCAAGGCTGCTGAAACCACCACTGTGCGTCGAAGACTGTTGCTGCTGCTGCATGTGTTGCTGCTGCTGCATGTGTTGCTGCCGGCGCTGCTGCTCTGAGCGCCGCAGGAGGATGCTGTGACCACACTGCAGCTGCTGCTGCTGCTGCTGCTGCTGCTGCAGCGCTGTAGCAGCAGCCCCTCCTGCTGCTGCTGCTGCACCACTCGAACTCATGCCCTCCCTCCGCGGGAGGTGTTGTTGTTGCATTGCGCCGCTCGGAGGGAGGCAGGGTCTGTCCAGACACTCCGAGGCTTCCGCAGCGACTGCTGCTGCAGCGAAAGGCAGCGAGCGCCTTCCTCCGGAGCCTGGCGCGAAGCGCGCGCTTTGTTGCTGCCGTTGCTGCTGCAGCGCGATCGCCGCCGCGTGGGGACCAAATGCGCGGGGTACAGAGCTCCAGAGAAGCTCCGCCTCTGGAATTTCCAAGCTCAGCTGCTCTGCAAGCGCGTCAGCCCATGAAGAGGCCGTTTTTTCCCCACTCGAGGAGGGCTGCCAAGACGGCAGATCGTCTTGGCTTCCCTCCGTCTTGAGCGCCGCAACGCGAGAAGATCGACGCAGCTCGACAGAAGCCGCTGCCTCCGTCGCTGGCAAGGGGGGGGGGGCCCACCCCCTGTCAGCCTCTGCGACACTCCGCACGCTATCGGACAGATCCTGCCTGTGGGGCGGAGCGACGCAAGAAGGCGTGTCGGCGCACTTTCCTCCCCCGTCAGCAGGTGCTGCTCCAGCAGCTGCTGCTTTTGCAGCAGCTGCAGCAGCTCTTGCAGCTGCTTTTGCCGGGGGGGGGGGCCCCTCCAAGAAGTTGGGGGCCCCTGCGGGGGAGGGGGGAGATGACGGGAGCTCTTCGACATCCATGGTCGCCTCCGTAGCTGTGCGCAGGAGAGGCACGCATTCACCAGCGGCTTCCCCCCCCTCCTCTTCCTCTCCCCCGCCCTCCCCCCCTGGCAGCAGCGTCACAGCCTCGACCCCCTTTTCCGCTGTTGTGGCAACAGCGTTCGATGCCATTTCGTTCTTCTGCTTGTTGCTGCAACTCCTGCAACTGCTGCTCCTGCTGCTGAACTCTACGCGTGGCAGTCCATCTTCTGAGGCGCAGGCAGCAGTTGGAAACTGAAAAGCTCAGAGAGCCACTCTCCCCTAGTCTCCCACTTCTCGACGTGAAGAAAAAGCGCTCCAAGGCAGCCCTCTAAAGCTGTGGCTTTTGAGGGGCCCCCTGCGAGGCCCCTAGGGGCCTCGAGGGGCCCCTGTGGACTAAAGCCGACGGGGGAGGCGGGGGGAGGGCAGGGAAGAAGGCGGGGGGTGGCTGAGGGGCCCCCTTTGGACGGTCTGTGGGGCCCCCTGGGAGAGTCTCGCGCGTTCACATACAGGAGGCTGCGCGCGTGCGACTGCGACTTCTTAGGAGACGACGCGAGGAGGAGGAGAAGCAGAGGGGCTCTACAGACGGGAGGGCGTTATTGAGAGGCAGAGAGCGCGGCAGGAGTCGGGAGGGGAGGAGAAGGGAGAGCTCGGGGGGTTGCAGGAGCCGTGGAAAACACGGTTTGCCGCGACGCGCTGCGGAGCGGACTGGTGCGGCAAAAGACGGGGTGAGGGATCACCAGGGGGACGCTGCGCATCGGGGGGTGCAGAGAGGGGCCTTTTTTCTGCGGGAAAAACTTCCGGGGGAGTCGTAGACGCGGCAGAGCGTCAAGGGGGGAGAGGCGCGAGGGAGGAGAAGGGCGCGTTGGAGCGGAGGGAAAAGGCTGGAATCGCTGGTCGCGCCGGCGCGCGCGCTTCTGTTGCGACTGCGGGCGGTGTGGCGCGGACGAGACGCATTGAAAAGCAGCGGAGAAGAAGAGCAAACACCACCCAACCAACCGAGCAACCTCTCGAGTCTGCTCCACCAAGCTGCGTTGCAGTGTCTGCATGAGGGGGAGCCAGCAGGGAGGAGGCAGCTGCGCGGGTGAAACGGCGGTGGCACGCCTCTCTGCTCGTTGGTGCTCTCTTCTTTGGCTGCGATTTCTCGATTCCCCCTATTTTAGAACCAAGGGCCTGCGAATTTAATTGCGCAGACACACAAATTCAGACAGACAGTTGCAGCAGGCAGCGGCTCAGCCCCCCTCCCCGTCCTGCACTGGCTCATAGTCTCGCGGCTGAGAGGGCAGCAGCAGCTGCTGCTGCTGCTGCTGCCCTCTGCTGCTGCTGTTGCTGTTGCTCCTCTCTTCTCCCCGCCTTTTCTGCGGACGCAAATACGTAAATCTGAGGCTCCCTCCGCGCGTGCTTCTCCGCAGCTGCGCTCCAACTTCGCCTTTCTGGGGTGGGGTTGTCTCTGGCCTGCCTCGCGACTTTCGTGCAGACGCTTCCTGGTGGTTGCTGGCATGCCAGTTCGCCCGACACGGCACGTTTGTGTATATGCCGCCCGTCTGTCTCTGTCTTTCTCTCTCCCCTCCCTGCTCGCATTCGGCCTCGTTGTCTTGCGCTTCCCCATCGAGAGTAGCAGCAGCAGCAGTGGCAGCAGCGGGAGCTTCCTGCCTGCAGCTGAACGCCCCTCTCGCCTCCGCTGCTCTCAGGAGAGCCACTCTGCGACGCCTTTGCAGCCCCCACCTTCTCCGTCTTTCGACCTGCCTCCGTGGTAGAGGCTTCCTCGAGCGGAAGCGACGAGAGTTCGCGAGCTGCTGAGGCTGCGAGGAAGCAGCTCCTCACTCCTCTGCGGCTGTTGCGACGTCTTAGTAGCCTCTGCTTCCGGCAGGCGGAGGGCAGCAGTGCATATGCGCGCTGACGAGGCATCATCATGTGCTTCCTCCTCTTAGCTGCTGCAGCGGCTGCGGCTATGGCTCTGAAAGCGTAGGACGAGAAAAAAATACCGTTCTTGCTCTCCCCTGGGTGCAGCAGCAGCAGCAGCAGCGAGGCGAGGCGAGGCGAGGCGAGGCTAGGTGTGTGCACACGCGGAGGCAGGTATGGCGTTAGCAGTCACATCCATGGCGTCAGCAGCGCACGCGGATGGTGAGGATGATGATCGACAGCAGCAGCAGCAGGAGCAGCAGCAGCAAGAGCAGCGGCAGGAGGAGACTCAGCGGCAGCCTCGCCACAGGGCGAGACTTGCAAGAGTTACCGCCACTAAGGCATCAGCAGCAGCAGCAACAACGGCAGTGTTGCCCTCCTCTAGCAGGGAGAGTCTGAGCAGCAGCAGCGAGGGAGAGGGAGGCGCTGACGGGAAACTCCAGAGGATGCTGCGAAGACGAGCAGCCAGACAGAAAGCTCCTTCAACGCAGGAGTTGAAAGAGGAGAAGCTTGAAGAGACGGAGAACGCTCAAGGGGAGACGCTGCAGGGTGTTGCTAGACTTGCAGCTGCCTCAACTCGACGGTCTCCTCGAGTGCAGCAGCAGCAGCAGCAGACGGCAGCAGCAGCTGTCAGCAGCAGCAGCAGCATGCATGCGAATCGTGCAGCGCCAGCCCCCTCAGCCGCCTCCTTGGGGCCTCTTACAGGGGGCCCCCCCTCAGAAGCAGCAAGCGGTGCTGCTGCAGCAAAGGGGCCCCTGGCGGAGCTTTCTGACGGGGAAAAAGACTCCACGACAGCTGTGCCTCGTCGCTCTTCGCGGCTGTATGCGCTGCCCTCCCCGAGCAGCTCCAGCAGCAGCTCCAGCAGCAGCTCCAGCACAGGAGTGTCTGCAGCAGCAGCAGGAGGAAGAGGCGGGGGAGGGGGGAGGAGTTTTTCTCCCCCTGCTGCAGGCGCCGTGAAGCGTCCGGGGGGGCCCCCCCCTCAGGAGAAGCGGCGGGGGGGCCCCCCCAGCCTCACGGCAGTGCCATCCGTCAAGGAAGGCAAGCGTCGCGAGGCAGACGCGACAGTCTTCACTGCTGACTTTGGGGGTGTAAAGGACTGTCGGCTAAGAGCCTTGCTACCCGAGGAGGCTGCGCAGCGAATGCAAAGACGCTTCAGCGCAAAGCAGATGCTGAGCAACACTGCTGCCGAGTGGAAACGTGCGATTCGGGGGCTTCTTTTGCAGCAGGAGCAGCAGCAGCGACAGCAGCTAGACAGCTGCCTCGAGCAGAAGGAAGGCAGCCGAGCAAAGCAACAGCAACAGCAGCAGCAACAGCGGGCGAGGCTCCCTCGCGTCTACTGCCCTTACATGCCCGAGGCTAATGGCGACGGTGTCATGCGTCACTGCGGACCGCTGTACAAGGATCTCCTCGAGATTGTGAAGTGTGGCAAGCTGTCTTCGCATCTGCAGGTGTGTGGGGAGGGGAGAGGAGAGGAGGGGGTTGGATATATATATATGTATATGTGCATACATGTGTGCGTGTGTGTGCGTTTTTTGCCTTTTTTGGCTTTTTTGCGTGTCAAGTGCCTCCTCTTTCACCTTCCCTCTCCTTCCTCCTCCAGCAAGCAGATGCAGCGCTGCACTTGCTTGCCGGCTGCCAGGGAGGGGGCCCTTCTTCGCGCTGTCACCGCTTGGGGAACGTGCATGCATTTACGCATGCATGCATGCATGCACTGCAGACGCTGTCTGTCGGCTGCATGCGCTGCTTGCAGGTCGTTGAAATTCTAGACGATCGACACCCCCTCCGCTTGGAGACGCCGCTGGAGCAGTCCGTCTTTGCTTTGCGGTATGTGGGGCCCCCCATCCCTGGCGGGAAGAGTGGGGGCCCCTCGCAGGGGGCCCCTCCGGGGGGGCCCCCTCCGAAGAGGGTTCTTTTTGGGGAGAGAGTCGGCTTCGTGTGCTCTCCTGGTGAGCGGGAGGCGCTCACTACTTCGTCTCTCCTACCGAGCAGCAGCTCCCAGCAGCAGCAGCGGCAGTGCGTTAAGAAGGCGAAGCAGAAGCAGCAGCGCAGCAGCAGGAGTCAGAAAGGCGGGGAGGAGCAGGAGGAAGAAGAACTGGAGGGGGAAGAAGAAGAAGATGATGATGATGAATACGCCTACGCGCTATCCTTCTGCAGTGAGGCACTGTTGCCGCCGACAGAGAGGTTCCCAGAGGACGGAGCGGCTCTAGACCGCCTCAGTGAGCAGTTATTGCTCTCTTCAGATGGTGAGCAGCAGCAGCAACAGCAACAACAACACAAGAGGAAAAAAACGCACCAGGCAGTTCCGTGGCTAAGCGCTCACGAGTCTGAAGGGGAGTCTGAGACGGAGAGGTTCGCAGATTCGGCAGCAGACAAGCACTTCTTGCCATGGGATGCAGCCCCTTTCAATTCTAGTGGTGAGTTGCATTTGTGAGACCATCTAAGTGTGGGGGGGAAGGAGAGGAGAAGGGAGGAAGCGGGCGGGGGGGGGGGGTATGTGGGGTAATCTCTTTCTTTGCTAGTATGTGTGTATCCATGTGTGTGTGTATGCACCTATGTATGTGTGTGTGTATCTATGTATGTGTGTATGTATCTATGTATGTGTCTATGTATCTATGTGTGTGTGTGTGTATCTATGTATGTGTGTGTGTGTATCTATGTATGTGTGTGTGTATCTATGTATGTGTGTGTGTATCTATGTATGTGTGTGTGTATCTATGTATGTGTGTATGTATCTATGTATGTGTGTGTGTGTATCTATGTATGTGTGTATGCACCTATGTATGTGTGTATGTATCTATGTATGTGTGTGTGTATGTATCTATGTGTGTGTGTATCTATGTATGTGTGTGTGTATCTATGTATGTGTGTATGTATCTATGTATGTGTCTATGTATCTATGTATGTGTGTGTGTATCTATGTATATATCTATACATGCATATAACTATGTATGTATGTGTGTATGTATCGCGTTCTTCCTCTGCTTGCATGTGTTTTTTGCGGGAGCGTAGCGATCAGCAGCGGCTGCTTGCAGCGGATGTCGTTTTGGCTGTTTGCGCCTTGCTGGAGCTGCCGTTTGTTGTGTTTGATTCTGGGAGTTACGCTGTGTAGATGCACAAGCTGTGCTAATGCATGCGCACAGGGCTGTCGCCAGAGCTGCAGCTGCTGCCGCGTGAAGATTCCTTCATGCTGTCTACACGCCGTGTGATGAATGCAATTTGTTGCGCATCACACTTTTGTCTCTCCTCCGTCTTTGGAGGGAGGCGAGCGCGTCTAAACTGCGAGTGGCAGGTATGTAAATACGTATAGATAGATACAAGCATCTATTTACGTCTTTGCGCACCTGCAGAGGATGCTGCTTTTTTGCGTTTTTTCTCTCGCCCTCGCTCTGGCTTGCTTGCTGCTGGCTCTTTTTCTTTTGAATCTCGTCTCGGGTGGCAAGCGAGAAAAGCGCTTATTCACACTCTTGCGGAGACGCCGCTCCGTGTGTTCTGTGCCTCTGAATCCTCGTGCGTCTCGCCTCCCGTGATATCGCCCTATTGCAGTCTCTGCGTGGGTGTCGGTTGCTCTTCAGGTTGTGTACGTGGATGGATGGCCACACGTGATTCTGTGCTCGATCCCAGACGTTCCCCTTCTTCATGGGGAGCAGCTGTTTGTTGACTATGGAAGCGCTTGGTACGAAGCGGCCGATGCAGCGTCGCTGCGGAATGCTCGGCAGCAACTGCGTGGCATGCGGCTGCTGCAGAGGCGGGGAGGCGCTGCAGCTGCAGCGGCCGTTGCAGCGGCTGCTGCGGCTGCAGCTGCTGAGGATGACGAGGATGAGCAGACTTACAGTCATGACCAACTCTGCGCGCTGTGCTACGCAAACGCTCTGCCAAACGCGCTCATGCCGCAGCAGGCGGCGGCGGGCAGAGGGGGGGGGGGACGCTCGAATCAACGCCAGCAGAAACAGCACCAGAAAGAAGAGCAGCGGAAACGGAAACAGACTGAAGAATCGGGGAGTGAAGATGAAGAGGAGGAGGAAGAGGCGGGGAGGAAGGAGGAGGGGATTGTGTGTGACGGGTGCAATCGAGCGTTTCATCTGGAATGCGTTTGCAGAGTGCAGGAGCCGCCTTCGAGAGACGTTGAGTGGTTTTGTTGTTTGTGCATGCATTTCGCGAGGAGAGTGTTGAAGGGGCGTTTTTTTATGGGGACTGGAGAGGCCAAGGCGCATCAGACAGTCAGTTCTGCCGAAGCAGCGGCAGTAGCGGATGCAGCGGGAGCATGCGACGACGTGGCAGTTTCAAACGCAGCAGCAGCAGCAGCAGATGCTGTACTCCCAGCCCCTGATCCTCAGCTCGTTTTGCCTCCTGGTCTGAACGAGGCTGCAGCTCTCGCAGCAGCTGCTTCTGCCGCTGCAGCCAACGCTGCCGCTGGGAAGTCGCTTTCCTCCTCCGCTGGAGAGGCTGCCACTGCAGCTGGTGGTAACGGTGCCGAAGGAAGGCTCCCCTCTTCGTTCCCCGCAGCAGCAGCAGCTGTCGATGCCGCTTCAGCTGCCGCTCGAGCGGGCTGTTGTTCTCCGCAGTCGTCCTCTGCAAGAGCTCCTGTCTACGCCTCTCTGAAAGCCGCATGGAGAGCTGCTGCGGGGGGGCTGCCAGTGCCTCGGAGAGCAGCAGATGCTTCGCCGTCTGTCGCAGCCGCTGATGAAACTCTCGTCGCCGTTCCTCTCGAGGGAGTTTCAGGAGGACCTGCGCTGCCGGAAGCTTCTCCGCTGCAAGTGCTGAAGCCTTGCGGAGACTGCAGGAAAATGTTTGGTCAGGATGCCAATGCCATAACGTGCAGGTGTGTCTGCAGAGAGGAGGGCGGAGAAAGGGAGGAAGGATTAGGGAGATGCAGAGAAGAGAAAGGGAGGGAGGATTAGGGAGAAGCAGAGAAGAGAAAGGGAGGGAGGATTAGGGAGATGCAGAGAAGAGGGAGGGAGGAAGGATTAGGGAGATGCAGAGAAGAGGGAGGGAGGGAGGATTAGGGAGAAGCAGAGAAGAGAAAGGGAGGGAGGATTAGGGAGATGCAGAGAAGAGAAAGGGAGGAGAAAGGGCACACCTGTGCCTGAGCGTGATGCGACGCCTCGTGAGAGACGCCTCGCAGACAGACAGGAAGACTATTTGAAGGGGAAACTCTCTTGGTGTGAAGTAGACAAAAAGGACATGTTTGCTGTGTTTCTCAGGGTGCACAAGCTGCATTTTAGCCAGAGCGCTGTGGTGGACGGCAGCTGGGGAGATTCGCCACTCGTGGTGTGTCAGACGGTTATTAGGGCATGTAAGTAAAAGCTACCATCCACGACGAGCTTGAGGGAGGAAGGAGAAAGGCAGGCATGCCCTTTATCGCCATATCTGTCTACCTGAGAACCCCCGATGATTCTTCCAGATCGAGAAAGACAGACAGAAAAGGAGAGAAAGAGAAAAGCGCTGGTTCTCTCGACTCCCTGGAAATGAAAAATCGCATGCATATAGATATGTGTCGATCTCTCTCTCTCTATATATATATATGTAGATGTGTGTCGATCTATATATACATATACATATATGTGTGTATGTAGATATGTGTCAATGCATGCATGCATGCATGCATGCATGCATGCATGCACACACACCTATACACATACCTATACATACATGTATATAGAGTTCTCTGTATGTGTGTGCTGTTGGTGCATGCTTCAGTAACTGATGCCCTCGTTGCCTATCGGCGCGCGGAGTTGGAGACGGAGGAGGCACTGAGAAATCCGCAAGAAGGTTCGCTCGCACATTTGACTGCCCCTTTGGCTTTTCATGCAGCTCAGTTCGAGTAGGGGAGGGGATGATTGAGGGGAGTGCCTGTGTCGGTAGGCGCTTCGCGAAAGGCTTCCTCACTGCACGCTGGCTCTGTGTCTAGGCAGGCGTTCGTGTGGCTGGCAGTCAGTGCAGTCACAAGTGCGTATGGAGACTGGGAGATATCTTTGTGTTGCGCTTCCAGCAGCTGCCTCCATCTCGCCGTCTGCTGCCGCTGCGATGATTCATCGAATGGGCTCATCAGGCACACCCTTCGTGCCTTTGCTCGGCATCTACCCCGGGAGAACGCGCGTGGAAAGAAAGTTCAAGGAAGGCCTCTTCGTGGTTCGTCGAGAAGGATCCTTTTTGCAAGCGCTTGCTGGAAAGCTTAAATGATGTCTTGTGTTGCAGCCGCAGTCGAGGAGGAAGGTCTTGTCACCCTTTCCTTCATGCTGCTTACTGCGCACAAATCTTTGTCTGTCTCTCGCTGTCTGTCTCTGTCTGTCTGTCTCTGTCTCTCTGTCTGTCTTAAGGAAGGCCTCTCTTGTCTCGCTGTCTGTCTTGAGGAATGCCTCTCTTGTCTCTCTGTCTGTCTCGCTGTCTATCTCTCGCTGTCTGTCTCTGTCTCTCTGTCTGTCTTGAGGAATGCCTCTCTTGTCTCTCGCTCTCTCTGTCTGTCTTGAGGAATGCCTCTCTTGTCTCTGGCTCTCTCTGTCTGTCTTGAGGAAGGCCTCTCTTGTCTCTGGCTCTCTCTGTCTGTCTTGAGGAATGCCTCTCTTGTCTCTCTGTCTGTCTCGCTGTCTATCTCTCGCTGTCTGTCTCTGTCTCTCTGTCTGTCTTGAGGAATGCCTCTCTTGTCTCTCGCTCTCTCTCTCTGTCTTGAGGAATGCCTCTCTTGTCTCTGGCTTTCTCTCTCTGTCTTGAGGAAGGCCTCTCTTGTCTCTCGCTCTCTCTCTCTGTCTTGAGGAATGCCTCTCTTGTCTCTGGCTTTCTCTCTCTGTCTTGAGGAAGGCCTCTCTTGTCTCTGGCTCTCTCTGTGTGTCTTGAGGAATGCCTCTCTTGTCTCTCGCTCTCTTTGTCTGTCTTGAGGAATGCCTCTCTTGTCTCTCTGTCTGTCTCGCTGTCTATCTCTCGCTGTCTGTCTCTGTCTCTCTGTCTGTCTTGAGGAATGCCTCTCTTGTCTCTCGCTCTCTCTCTCTGTCT